CACCCACAGCAAGTCCAAGGGGAGCGCGCAACCCTTTGGGCGGCAGTAGCAGTTATGCTTGTGATACCACCCACTTGTTGATTGTTCGTATACGAATGTTATCGCCAGACCTGAGCTTTTTCGATTGAATTGCCGAGGTTCCCGCGTCGTCTGCGACGAGAACACTCAAGTACTTTCAGGCCATTGCGAGGAGCGGAAGTGGTTGTGTCCTGCTGTGCTGAGGTCGAAGATAGTTGGCCTACGGCCGGTGCCGGTCAATCTAGTATCTGAGCGTAGTCGCATAGACCCACTTTCCCTCCTTCTGGTGATTAAGTACAATGTTTGCCTGTATATAGGACTATATCCGGTAGAAGACATAATAATATTCATAAGGGCCCTGATGAACGTGTCAGTGCAGTGTGAGCGTGGTTATATCTTAATCCTGATTTTATATAACGCCATATACTACGGGGTAAGCACTATTATTACATAGTCAGTTAGTATATATCTATTTATCTGTTTTGATTCCAAAAATCTAATAAGATGTGTGTGTAATTGTGTGTGTGCTCCCGGTGCGCTTGCTGGTGCGCGGGTGCGGTCGGCCTGTGCGCGCGCCGGCCGGTGCTGCGTCGTGCGTTGCGGTCGCGTTGCCGTGCGTGGCGTGCGGCCCGCCCCCTGCCGTTGCGTTTGCGTGCGTGCGTGCCCGTCGCCGTTGCGGTCGTGATGCTTTGTTGTGGCTTGCCTGCATGATGTGTATGTACAACCTGACCAGTCTAGGAATAAAAGCTTGGACTGTAGTGGACTGTAGAATTGCCATTAGTTGCTCACCACCCTTGATTCTTGGCGTGTTGATGGCATTAATTGATTCATCGTTATCTTTGTCAGGAAGAGCTATCGAGATCAGACGGTGACCCAGCTGTGACGGATGTAGTGACCACCTGGGGCCTGCGGCGTCGAGCCGACGCGCCGCACAGGGCCCCCCACTTCGCACCTGTATGAAACGGGCTACTCGGTTTTCTGTACCCGCCCTCGCGCGGGTGCCATTGCTGCCCCAGGGTGAGCCCCCTTGCTCTCTCCCTCTATGTCTCTATCTCTCTTTCTTTCTCTCGTCTTCTTCTCTCTCTCTCTCTCTCTTTTCTCTTTCGTATTCTCTGTCTCTTTCCTACTTTCTCGCCTCGTGCCCTCGCTCGTCTCTCTCCTCAACGCACACACCCTCTTTGTGTTTAAGGGGTCCCGATGATTGGGCCGCGTTAAAAGACGTTGGCCGCGTGTGAGGTTTGGACATTACATTGCGCCTGTGGATTTGAATAAGCTAGCGGTATATTTGATCTAGGGTACTGGCTTCATCGTTCGATACAGCAGTTTAATCCAATCGGGGCCTGCGGATCGTCGAGTCGTTATGATTTTTTTTCGCCTTTCTTTTTTTTTTGTTTTTTTCCTTTTTTTTTTTAGTTTTTTTTCTTTTCTGTCATGAATCATATGATTGTACTGCAGTATGTACTTTTTACATGTGTTTTACACTGTCTAGTTTGTTTTTGTCAGAATCCAGTAATCCATGCGATGGCTTCTCTCCTTCCGTTGCAGAACAACTGATGGAGATGCTGAAGCATTGTGGAGCCAGCGTCATCAGCTCTCAGTCACAACTAGGCGCTCATCATCTGAACTTGCCGACAGTGGTGGTGTTGATACCCCCAGAAGCTCTTGGTCAAGTCTGCCGACGGTGCTTTCCCTCACATGCGTGAGGGACGGTAAATCCAGCTTTGGATACGTTATCAGTGTCCCCGGTGCTTTCTGAATTAATAAATTACTACTCTAGGAAATGATGACTCACGATATCTCTGTGATATCTATCTGTGTCTCCATCTTTTTTTATTTTTCTCTTGCTCTCTGTCTCTCAATTTCTTCTTCCTTAACTTTTTCTTCCTCACCATTTCCCGTATATTTATGCTCCTCTTTCTTTCTCTCTCTCTCCTCTCTCTCTCCTCTTCGTACTCTCTGCTTCTCTCTCTCTCTCGTTGTCGTCTGCTCTCTGTGTCTCTGTCTCTGTCTCTGTCTCGCTCTCTCTCTCTCTCTCTCCTCCTGCTCCCTCTCTCTCTCTCGGCGGCGTGGGGGCCCCCTTTCTCTCTGGTGAGGCCGTGAGTCTTCTCTATTTATCTCTGGTCCCTGTATCATGTGGGGTGCGTGTGGCGCACTAGTATTTCTCTCTTCTCTCCTTCGATCACTCTTAATTTGATTTTGCTCTCTTCCTCTCTGCCATCGCTGTGCCTGGTGCACAACTGGGCAGCCTTAACACAATTTTATCCGAACTGAAAAATTATTTGCGATGTCGAATCTGGTATAGGCATGTTTCAACGTTCGTAGCTATTCTTACTGACCGAACTTCGTCTACCTTCACCCTCATGTTTGGTTTGGTCACAGGAATCTGCGAGCGTGGGCCTGCCGGCTGCCCGGCCGCGGGTACCAGTCGCTGTGGGGGTCAGCAGAGAGTGGACACTGCTGGATAGTATCGCGAGGGCGCGCCCCCCCTGTAACCGTGTGCCCAGCCGAGATTTTACTTTGCCTTACTGTCAACACAGATGAGATGAGCGATGTGGCCCTGCAGAAATACCTGTAGATGAAGCCATAGAGAAATACCTGGTGGATGGAGCCATACAGAAACTACTATAGACTGAAGCCCTACACAGATACGTGTAGATGAAGGGGGCCGTACATAAACTAGCCTGTAGATCAACCCTACAGAAATAGCCTGTAAATGGAGCGCCTGACACAGATCCTGTAGTATGAAGGCCCTCACATAAACTCGCACCTGCCCCTGTAGTCAATTCCTCTACAGAAATAGCCTGTAGCTCGCCAAGCCCTTACACTCCAACCTGTAGATGAAGCCTACAAACAGGCGTACCTGTGTATCATTGAACCCGTTACAGGAGAATAGCACCCATGTATATGCAAACTCCCGCCTACCAGAAATTACGCTGGA